CCTCAACCCTAAACCCTAAACCATTATACTTACTGTTCCAGGCATGGTGGCCTTGACGGCTGTCCACTGGATGGATCTCGGCAAAGGTGGCGGGGGCGAGGTGAACGGGACGTTCTATTCTGCGAAGGAGTGTATCCTAGAAGCTCTCTCTTCGGGTTTAGGGTTAGGGTTGAGGGTTTAGGCTTTAGGGTTTAGAACCCGAAGGAGTGTTTCCTACAAGCTCTCTCTCTGAATGAGACCTCAGCCGCACCTTGGAACCTACTTGGCCGTTTGGGAGGTGGGAGGGTAAATGGGAGAATGTTTTCTGAGAAAGAGTGTTACATCAGATCCCTCGTGCTGAACGAGACGAGCCCAGACGCCTGGAACAATCTCGGGTCGCTGGGCGGCGGAGAAGTGAGGGGCAGATTCTACACAGAGGTGGAGTGCTTCGAGAAAGCTTTATCCTTGTGGCCTAAGAGGGAACGTAAAGGCAATGCCGTCACCTGGACAAACGTTGGCTTTGTTGGAGGTGGCAAAGTGAATGGGAAGCTGTACTCTAGGAATGAGTGCTTCCAGGAAGCACTGTCGATAGATAGCACTTGTGCTTCAGCTTGGTACTTCCTTGGCCAGTGTGGAGGTGGGCAGGTGAACGAACAGGTTTTTTCTCGGAAGGATTGCTACCTCAGATCTCTCCAGAATGTGAATGAGACCCAGAAGACCCCTTGCCCTCTTGACAACACGAGGAAGAGATGCGCTGGCATACTAGTGGGGAACTTTCCGTATGCGAACCCGAAGGAGTGTTTCCTAGAAGCTCTCTCTCTGAATGAGACCTCAGCCGAAACTTGGAACCTACTTGGCCGTTTGGGAGGTGGGAGGGTGAATGGGAGAATGTTTTCGGAGAAACAGTGTTACATCAGATCCCTCGTGCTGAACGAGACGAGCCCGGACGCCTGGAACAATCTCGGGTCGATGGGCGGCGGAGAAGTGAGGGGGAGATTCTACACAGAGGTGGAGTGCCTCGAGAAAGCTCTTTCCTTGTCGCGCGAAAAGGACAAAGACAATGTCATCACCTGGACGAACCTTGCCCTTGCCAGCGGTGGCAATGTGAATGGAAAGTTCTACTCTGCGCAGGAGTGCTCCCTGGAAGCACTGTCTCTGGACAGTACGTTCGCTGTGGCTTGGTACCTCCTTGGCCAGCTTGGGGGTGGGCTGTTGAATGGGCATGTCGTTTCCCAAAAAGATTGCTACCTGAGATGTCTCGCCTTAGATGCGACCCAGAGGAACCGTTCCTCGCTGAACAGCAAGAGGAAGGCCGTAGCCTGGACTAATCTGGGCATGTGGGGGGGTGGCAAGGTACATGGAACGTCCTACTCCGCGAAGGAGTGCTACCTAGAAGCTCTTGCTGCACACTTCAAGAATGTGGAGGCTTGGTTCCATCTGGGCCTTGAGGGAGGAGGGCGGCCGCTGCACGGGAGACTTTTTTCTGAGAAGGATTGTTACATCAGGGCCCTTTCCTTGGATGAGACCAGTCCAACTCTTCGGAAAGGGGAGAAAGCCTTGGCCTGGACGCAGCTCGGCCTACTGGGGGCTGGCAATGTGAGCGGCAAGGCCTACTCTGAAAAGGACTGCTACCTGGCCGCTCTCTCGCAACATGAGAGCCCACTGGCTTGGTTCCACCTGGGACTGCTGGGAGGTGGGGAGGTCCATGGGAGAGTCTTTTCTGAGAAGGAGTGCTACCAGAAATCGATCTCCTTGGATGAAGGGTTTGCAGATGCCTGGGACCAGTTGGCTAAGGCGGATGGGGGAGACGTCCATGGAAGGTCTTACTCCCGGCAGGAGTGCTTGGCAAAGGCAACATACTTGAGAGAGCATCCCACGATTGAAGTCTAGCGGCCCTGGCTCTTTTGCAGATCTCTGCAGAAAAGGAACGGCGTTCAATTTGAATGACGCCATGTCTGCCACCAGAACAGCCGCGTGGAAATGGTGACACATGACTTTCCTGCCGACTCCTTAAGTTCTGGAGCCCTTATAGTAGAGCCATTATGTAAGCCCCTCTACAGCCCTTGTAGAGCCCATGATGAAAGGCCCCCTCGGGACCCCTGCCTACATCCCCAAGGTGCACACGAAGACGCTGAAGACCATGGCTGGCGCCTCAGAACTCATCTTCTGGTGCCTTTGGGCCGGGGATTTTGGGCGACGGTCGGTCCCCGAAACCCTGAAACCCTAAACCCTAAGCCCCCTAGAACCCTCAACCCCGAAACCCGAAACCCCCTAAAGCCCCCTAAACCCCCCAAAACCCCGTAAGCCCCTTAAACCCCTAAACCCCCCTATACCCCCGTAAACCCCTTAAACCCCCGCAAAACCCCTGAACCCCCTTAAACCCCCGCAAAACCCCTAAACCCCCCTAAGCCCCCCTAAACCCCCTAAGCCCCTCAACCCTAAACCCGCCAACCGGTTCAGCCTCGTCTCTGCCGGAAAAATATGGCCCTAATATCGGGGCCTTAATAATTAGAATAGGGTTTTGGGGGTTCCTTATTATTATTATTATTGTTATTGTTATTATTATTATTATCATTATTATTATTGTAGTATAATATACCCCCCAAACCCTATTCTAATCATTAAGGCCCCTATACTAGACTCAGGCATCCGAAATCCTGTTGGGCTTAGGGTTTAGGGTGTTTGTTTAGGGTTTAGGGTTATATATACATCATCTCATTCAACGCTCATGGGTAGTTCTCCAAATTAGGGTCCTTTGTGCAAGGATGCCGTACTTTCTCAAAGGGGCCCTAATGTAGAGTTTTAGCCTCATGGCTGTGCGAAGGACAAGCCGACCACAGAGGAGCTCACGTCACAGCTGCTCGGCTGGGCTCATCAAACTCTAGACCCTAAACCCTGAACCCTAAACGGTTTAGGGTTTAGGGTTTAGCCACCCTAAGCTGAATCTGTTTTCGTACTTCTTCCATAACCATCTCAATTTTAGGAGTTGGCGAAACAAACCCTGAACCCCGGAAGCTTGCAACCCTAAGCCCCAAAACAAAAAACCCTGAGCCTCGCGAAGCCCCAAACTCCAATTGGGTTTAGGGTTTCGGTTTAAGGGTTTAGGGTTTAGGGTTTAGGGTTTCGGTTTAAGGGTTTAGGGCTTACATCCCAATGCCAAATACCTAAGCTCCTGATCCCTGCACGCCCTGGCCCAGATAAATTTCAGGTGAGTTAAACCCTAAACCGAACCCTAAACCCAAGGCCCTAAACCCAGGCCCGTCCCTACATCCCAAGGAACCTGAACCCGAGGGTTGATGAGGGACTTGCTAAGGATCTTCGTGGGGGTCTCTACGGATTTTGTGAGGGTTTAACAAATCGTTTTTGAGGTCTTGTATAGGTTTAGGGTTTAAGGTTTAGGGTTTAGGGTTTAGGGGCTTCTGCTGGCAAGCTGGTTTGAGAGACATTCGCAAGTTTCTTGATTGTGGTACCTGAATACCAAACTCCTCCCTCCAACAGCTCCGGCCTACAATGACTTGCGCCCTTGGTTTAGTTGCTCCTCTAAACTCTAAGCTCCAAGCCCTGATCCCTCACCCAGAGCCCGCAGCCCTGCCCTAACCCTCAAACCCTAAACCCCTAAACCCCCTAAACCCCGACACCCCTAAACCCGAAACCCCTAAGCCCTAAACCCTAAACCTTTAATCCTTAAACCTTAAACCCTAAAGCCCTAAAGCCCTAAACCCTAAACCCTAAACCCTTAACCCTTAAACCCTTAAATCCTTAAATCCTTAAGCCCTAAACCCGAAAGCCCTAAAGCCGTAAAGCCCTAAACCCCTAGACCCCGTAGCTGGAACCTTCCCTGCTGCCTGGTTGAAGACTTTGGGCTCAGGGTTTAGCAGGGGTTTGGGTTTAGGGTTTAGGGTTTAGGGCCTAGGGCTTAGGGTTTAGGGCTTACGGCTTAGGGCTTAAGGTTTAGGGTTTAGGGTTTAGACCCTAGGCTTATAAAGGAGTCGATAGGGTTCTTTTAATGGGTCTGTGCAGGGCCTTGAAAGGGCGGTCATACTGCCCGAACCTGAGCGTTTTACTCTGAAGAAGCAGCGGCTTAGGGTTTAGGGTTCCCGGGTTTAGGGTTGAGGGTTTGGGGTTTAGGGTTCAGGCTTCAGGGTTCCTGAACCCTAAACCCTAAACCCTAAGCCCTAAACCCTAAGCCCTAAACCCTAAACCCTAAACCCTAAGCCCTAAACCCTAAAGGAGTTTCGGGCTTTTGGGCTTTCTTCCTCCAAGGCCGCACGGCTTGAACCCTTCTCTCTGAAACCGGGAAGCCTCGAAGCCTGGCCTCGAGTCTTCGGCCCCGCAGTCCTTAAAGCCTACACTGGGTTCTTTAGGGTTTAGGGTTTAGGGTTTAGGGGATTGTGTTTAAGCTGCCAAAATAGGGATCCAGAGTAAATAATATGGTTTCTTATTATGGTAACTTAACACTTAAATCCCCTTGTTAAGGGATTTCGTTTAAGCTACTAAAAATAATTACCCAGAATAAGGAATATACCATAATTCCCATAGTTCAGGGTCCTTAAGGTAATGCAGGATTTCGATCATCAACAGTAGGGATCTATAGTAAATAATATGGTTTCTTCATTGTGGTAACTTAACTTGAATCCCTGAACAAGAACCCAGTAGAGCACCTAGCTGTAATCTTGTCCCAAAACCCTACCACCCTGTATCCTAAAGCAGAAACCCAGGGTAACTCCCTGCCCTAAACCCTAAACCCT